AACTAACTAAACGAAACGAACACACTACTATATATATATATATATATATATATATATATATATATGNGTGCGTGTGTGTGTTATTATATAATATAATTATGTGCATATGTACATACTTATAAATAACGTGGAGTATATATAGATATATATATATATATGTATGTCTATATATATATATATATGCATTTACTTATAAATAAATACATATACATATATATCATGTGCATAAGCATATACTTATATATAAATACATATACATAAATATCATGTGCATATGTATAAACGTACATATATATATATATTTATATTTATATTTATATGTATATATGTATCTATTTATTTATTTTATTATATATATGTATATATATATATATATATATATATGGATTGTAGTATGCCATCGTGACTCGCATGCTATCATTTGTTTTCAAGTTTATTCAATCTTTACTTTTACTAGCTACTCGTTTTATTACAGGTACTATACCATGGTTTTATATGCCAAATTTTACGTTTGTGGACGTATATATATGTGTGTATGTGTATGTATATTTGTATATATATATATATATATATATATATATATGGAGTGTAGTATGCCATCGTGTATCACATGCTATCGTGTATCACATGCTATCGTTTGTTATTATGTAATATGTCTGGCCAATGATTCTGACGGCCAGATATTTAAATCTCAAAAGAAAATCAGTTGTCTCGAATAAGTGTGATCGTCACATGTCTATAGTTCTAATTCATCTCTGGCGCATCAGGCCATGTCTACTGAAGCTTTAATTGTACTAGCTATTCATTTGTATTCCAGGCTGCTATACCATGGTGAATGTTTCATCGACGTGCAAACCGATCAAACTACTGAAATTACTTGTACTAGCTACTCATAAATATTCCAGGCTACTTAACCATGGTGAATGTTTTATTAACGTAAAAATCGACCGTACAAATTGATCAAACTACCTTAAATGTCAGCAATTAGATTCACTTGATATCCGACGATACTAAGCATTTCATAACGTATCCGACAATGAGACCGTCATGTGTAGATTGTAGCTGGCTATGAATCCTGAGGAGTTGTTATTTGTATTTCTACGATTGTTTAGTTGCTTCATACGATGAGCCACAAACGTGCCCAATGCAGCAGTAGTATTAGTTATACTGCGTATAATATTGGCATGAGTATGTATTGATCATTTCTGTTACCCAGTTCAAAACGTCAATTTATTTACCGCTGTTATGATACTACTTCAAGCCGCAAACTTGGGCAAATATATGAGAATCTGAAAGCGCATTGCTAAAGGCTCATAAGGCTACAGCTGCCACAAAGCAGATGTTGATTGTACTTTCTTGACTGTTAGTCGTATTGAGATTGAAACCTTGACAATCAGGTTAACAGACAACAGCTTTGTTTGCAGATACGCATATAAATAAACGTTCAACACTGTAGGATTTCGATGTCAGAACCAGTAAGTGAATATCGACTACACGCCAGGGGGACAATTTATTTAACCGAGATAAATTGAATTGTGGGTGAATGAGCTTTATTATATTTATCTGAAACAAAGATGCCAGTGGTGTATTCATTGTGAGTTCGGGTGCTGACTTGTCCAGTATTCAAATTTGTAAGACAAGCTAATTAGTATGTACGAGTAGGAGTCTCCGGTTTGCGATATCCGAGTATATCGTGGTGCGTGTAAGCTGTATCGTCTGCCGAACCCGAGCCGTCTTCTTCAGATTCTTCGCCGTGGACCTTGAAAAGCTTAAAAGAGAAGTGTTACCCCACTGTCTACTTTTCTGGTCAGCAACCTGAATTAACATAAAATCATTTGTCCCACACGTTGCTATGGAAGCACCGTAGGACTTACAACTCAACGCCGTCCGTTAAATAGGCGTTTTTCCCCTATGAGCCTATCTGCCATTGATGAGAATGTCATTCGAAGGCGTTCCTCGCCTGATGTGAATTGCCAATTTATATTGTTACGATCGACACGGTCGACATTCGAACAGTGAAAGACATGGAGGGGGTCGTTTGCAGTGTAGCAACGGTAGGAACGTCTATCCCCCAACCTTCTCGATGGCTGCTTTGGTCCGATTTTTACATGTGCGTATAGATAGAATTACAACAATATATACATTCAGGCGTATAAACATTTAGGAAACGTGACCTTTTTTCGCTGAGCGTGAACGAACGGGTGTCGGCAAAAAGGGGATTGCGGACGAGAGTATTTGACGACGTATATCGAATACAATCAAATACATTCAAACAAATATCAGAACAAGAACGCTATATATACATATATTCTCTTGCTAGTACAAGTAGAAACCAGCAGCCATGTTAATCTATTGAGAGAGTAGTTATACGTGTATCACATTCGCATCGTCGCATGCCATGACCAAGATTTTCTATTCATGTACATACGGCACTATTTTTTTAACGGCAGTCAACAATACATATATATTGCAAATATTTACACAACTACAATCTTATAGATCGTATTATAAAACAAAAAGAGCCTTTGTTTTAAAAAATATATATGTCAACAAGTAGGGTTGAATTATTATAGGAGAGCCTATACAAGAAGATTCAGCTTTCTCCATTATACAGAAGATAAAATACTTGTTATTTTGTATTTATTACCACACCTGCGCAACAACTATAACCAGTACAGTCGCCCGACCATTGACTATTTAGCTGGCCATATAGAAGGTTGAATTAAATACCAACTATCGGTCGAGGGTTAAGGACTGCACGATGGAAGACACGGATTTATACTCATATGGGGATCAGGTGAGACAAAAGAGCATTATCGATAGATAGCAACAATACCAACAATCGTATAACCTTTATACTCGCAAATACCTGCAAACGTGTGGTACTCTGTACACTTCAATGGACGTGGCTTTAGCACTGGTTCACATACAGCAATGTTATATACGTATTTTAGAGAGAAATAGTGTGCTCATGTTCCTGTCCAACGTCTCGGGATATGCAAGCGTCCCAATACTTCAAGGACTTCCCCTTGTGGAGTGTCATGTCCCTGGGTGTGAAACGTTTTGCCATAACTCTTCAGATCCCACAATGTTGGCCTAATCGCACAGTGCTAGTAAGAATCTCCAGATATACTCAACAACTTGAGATCGTTGCGACGATATGTACTCTTCATTGAATCTAGAAGACCGTGTGTACTTCCAATACACTACAAACACCCACTCTA